TTACTTAATTAGGTAGTTATTCCAAGGTATCTTTTTTTTTTTTTTAAGATTTATTTATTTATTCGTACAGAACTGGGGTACAGGCCAGAGATGCGTAGGGTGAGAGGATTCACCAGAGACAGAGTGGGGAGCAGAAAAGGCAGATGGACGAAGTACACTGCTGAGGGAAGCAGCGGGCGGGTCAGGAGAGGTCCTCCGAGCTATGTGGTCATCTCCGGGGCAGGCCGGGATCGAACTCATAAGAAAGTGGCTTAAGCTTCTTTGTGCTGTGCTATAACCTGCTGGGCCACCAGGGAGGGCCCAATAGCTACTTATTTCCTACATAGATAATTTAATTATATCTGTATTGGCAATTTAGATTCCCTGAATTTTACTTTTATAAATGGTTATCATAATTTATATATAGCAGAACATCATAATTTGTTTTGTACTCTTGTAGCCATTTTAAAAATTAACAAAATTTGGAGAGCTCTAATTATTCTTCAGCTGCAGTAAATACAAAGGAAGGCTTATAAATAGGTTTTTATAAAAAGCAGTTTTTCAATTTTTTTTTAAATTGAGCTTTTAAAATTGTCATTGCATAATGAAAAACTTTCAATGAGTCTTTACTGGTTTTAAATCATTGCTTACTCAAATATAAAGTTACATACATTTTAGAAATTCTATCAAAGTCCTGACCCACAATCCTTTTCACATTTCTGTGTAGTTTTAGAATGAGTTTTTTATCAAAACCATAATATTAAAAGCAACAACCCCAGCTCTCCCTGGTATTGCAGTGGGTTAGGACGCAGCACTGCAAGTGAGCTGCAACCGCTTCAGTGCAAGTTCGATCCCAGCCGAGGGACCTCTCCTGACCTGCCTGCTAATCCCCTCAGCAGTATACTTCGTAGATCTGCCTGTTCTGCTCCCCACTCTGCTCCCCACTCTGTACTTCGTAGATCTGCCTGTTCTGCTCCCCACTCTGTCTCTGGTGAAATCTCTCACCACCCCTGCACCACTGGTCTGTACCCCAGCTCTGTATTCATAAATAAATAAATCTTAAAAAAAAAAAAAAAGCAACAACTCCTTGCAATTTCTAAGGTTATACTAATATAGTTGATCTTAAGAAGTTGATTTCTTCTCAGTTATATTGGCTCCTTCTCTGTACCAATTACTTGATATACCCCCATGCAATTCTGTTCATTCTCTGTACTATTTCCTGATCGGTTAAACCTTGACTTCTTCGACAGGCCATCTTGATAATTCCTAAATTAGTATATCCATTTCTGATACTTCTAGTTCTGTATTTCTGTCTTTCTACTGTTTTTATCTGAATGTCTCACAAGACCCAACACTTTACAAATCTAATAATGATTAGTTTTTTCTCTCAAAACCTGTTTTTACTCCCACATTATCAGTAATATAAAATGACCTAACTACCCTCACAATGTCCCAAGATAAAAATTATAGTCCTAGCCTTCTCTCTCCATCATACCCCCATAATTAGTGACAAAATGACATTACTTCCTTCTGTTAAGTTACTCTTAAATTATTTGTGTCTTTTCAGTTGTTACAAATAGTATAATAGTTCAAGGCCACCTTCTCGAACATGGATTCTTAGAGGTATTAGAATGTGAAAATAGGATAAATCTGAATCCAGTATTTAGCTCTACAGTTTACTTAATTTTGTGCTCTTGAGATAGTTCCTTAACCTTTCTGAACCTTTATTTCTTTACATAAGAAATATATAAAATATAAAATGGGGATGATCAAAACCACTATTCCATAAAATTGCATATAGAGTACTGAAGTAGAGTTAGTGATCTATAAATACTGCTCCTCTTCATTACCATGCTGCTGCGGTAATCCTACTTACTATGTTTAATATTGGATCTTATCATTCCTCACTACTTATAGACTAAAGTAAAAATTTCTTAGTGACATAAATAGCTTCCCACAATTTCCCAACTTGCTTCTCAGTACTTCTTACTTGCACTCTACATAGCATATTTTGGTTTTTCTTTGTTTTTTGTTTGTTTTTTAATTGCATCATTCTTTCCACTATTATTACATACCTTTCCACTATTATTATCTCTTGATGGGCTGTTTTTCCTCCTGATTTCCTAATCTGTATTCCACCTTTCTTTACCTATCAGACATACATATTAATTAATAGGTAACTCAAATATGAGATCAACCTTTTCCTGACTTCTCCCAGAAAAGCTAGTTTCTTCCCAATCTCTAGTGGCAAAAACTGTTCTTCATAGCTATAGAATTTTTCGTATTGAATTGTATTTATTTATGCTGTTTTTCTTACTTTAGTTCTGAAATAACTATACATCTGATTTATCATTATATTGGCTACTTTTGTCTAATAGCAGATGTACAGTAGGTATCCAGTAAATTTCATTTGAATAAAAGTTCGAAGCTCTTTTTGTCTAAGAAGCTGTATGTTAAATCATGTTATTTTTGTAACTTAGTGTTAATATCCCCATTTTCCAGATTACAGAACAAAGGAAAGACTACTTAGAGATTATCAAAAATATTAAAAGAGATGACACAGTAAAACATAGTTTGGCATTTTAGTTTCTCAGACAACTTCTGTTCATAGGAAATCTTACAATATCTATATGTCTACATCCATGTTTTGTTTTACCAAAATTTTTCTTAATTTTAAAATCTTCTATTCATCATAATTTGAATATATAAGAAAACACTCTTACCATAGCACCAGTTAGATTAGTATTGTAATAAACATTTTGTGCAGAAGACTAGTTTCTAACAGGCAAGTTATTTTATTTGCACTCCAGATTTTGTTTACTTATATTTCTTATTCCCCCTAGAATAATGATGCACCTATTGAACAAGAAATCAACAGTGCAGAAACTTATTTTGAAAGTGCCAAAGTAGAGTGTGCAATCCAAGCTTGTCCAGAATTGCTACGAAAAGGTAGGTTGTACTTTAAACATTTTACACTGATGAGTATTAGATGGTATCAATAGTGTTTTAATGTGCTGGATAATATACTCCTTAGGAATTGTAATGCTCTGTAGCTTGATATTTTAACATGTCTGGCTGGAAATGATTAAAAGATAATCATTTAATCATTTAAAAATTAAAAAGAAAAGAAATTAAATAAAAATAAAAAAGATAAAAAAGACTTTCAAACGTTCCCTGATTTCTGACTTAAAGCTGCCATAGATAGAAACAAAAGAATTTTTGGTAATTTTATTCCTAAAATTTAAGGCATTCTACTTCTGGGAGATTGCTACAGTTATAATTTCATGAGCATTAGCTCATAATACTGAGAAAAATCTTAATAATATGCTTTTATGCAATAATTTTTTAAATTACATCATTGTTCATTTTTGTACAGTATTTGACTTCTCCCTTCAGGTGTAGTCCCCATAAATCTCCCACAACCACATCATCCATGACCCTTCACCATAGTTCCTTATGTCCTTCCTTCCCCTGTCTTAACCTGGCTCAGTTCCTCCCCCCTACTGTGTCCTTCACTGAGTTTGCCTACAAGTTTTGTCAACTTTTTTGATACTTTGTTCAGTTTCCCTATTTCTCTCATATAAGTGAAACATCCAATAATGTCTATACAATTGAGTACTACTCAGCAATCTAAAAAGATGACTCATGCTATTCACAGCAACATGGATGGATTGGAAGAGATTTGCTCAGTGAAATACAAGTTGGAGGGGGGAAAATATATAAATATCAGATGATCTCACTTATAGGAGGAATATAGGGAAACCAAACAAAGTGTCAAAAGTAATAAATATTTTTTAATCACAAAACTTATAACCTATAAGTTGCTCTTCAGTTTACTGTAGGAAATAGTATTTCCGTTCCTCCAACAAGAGCAGAACTAAATCAAAACTAAGCTCAGTTTGCCCTTTTCAAATAATAATATATAAAATCTAACTTGATATCACAACTTAACAATCATTTTGCTAAAGTAATGATTTTTTTCATACACTGTTTCCTTTTTGAAAACCCAAATTCCTTTCTCCCTGCGATTGGTATTCTTATTTCTTTATAGATTTTGAATCACTGTTTCCAGAAGTGGCCACCAACAAACTGATGATTCTAACAGTAACACAAAAAACTAAGAATGACATGACTGCTTGGAGTGAGGAAGTGGAAAATGAAAGAGAGCTGCTCCTAGAAAAGGTAATTCTTTCAGTTATAGACATGTTAACTGTATAACCCAGTGTGGTTTTAGATGAACAAATGTTTTAAAATGTTGAGGTGTTTATAGCCTTTATTCCTTTCCTGTTGATTTATTTCAGTACTAAAAGACATGCTTTCTTAAAAATACTAGTTTTTTTTAAAGTATCTTAGAAAAGCTTAGTTTCAGTCTTCATACATTCCTTATATTTTTGCGTTTGTATCTATTTCAGGAAGTTTCAGGAATGCAGTCACCTCTTTCTCACCTATTCATCTTCCATATCTCTTTTTCTTTCTTTAAAGTATATCATGTCAAGTTAGAAAGTAAAATTATCCCAACCTTCAGGGAGTAAACAGTAACAGTATATAGTATGATGACAATATACTATATATCCACATTTTATTTTAAGTTGAATATATTTTCATACTAACCCCAATATAGTTATAGGTGAGTTTTTTATAACCAACTTCGGGGCTTTGAAGTGGGAACATGGTTTGTCATCTCATTTTTTTATTTTATAATAACCCAACTCTTATTTTGCATTCTATTTTATATGTTAGTGATTATTTTAGAATCACAAGAGCTTGCATGCCAAGGGGATAATTTATGTCATAAGGTTTAAATTTATTCTAGTTTTTTCCAGTAGATGTCAGTATTTGCTGTTGATAAGCAAACCTTTTAAAAGATAAACTTTTTGCATGTTTGGAATTCTTATTTTCTTTGCAAACATTTAATTGCTTTGTTTGCTCTCCTTATAGTTTTGTAGATGATAGTTTAATTTGTTCATGAAATTGATATCTTTTGTAAACCATATTCAATGGTTTTATTTTAAGAATTGTGAAAAATTAATGAAATAGTTGTAAGTGTATAAATGAAATAGATTAAGATAATGACTATAACTAAAAAATACAGCATTATCTTAACATATTTCAATAGTTTATGAGCTTAAATTATATACCTCCATAGCAGAGTTAGCAAACTTTTTTCTGTAAGAGCCAGATAGTAAGTAAATAGGTTAAGCCATATGGTATCAGCTGCTCAAATTTACCCTCATACTGTTAACTAAAGGTGACAAGGCAGTGTTTCAATAAAATTACTTACACAGATAGTCAACCAGACCTGCTTCTCAGTCTTCAGCTTACTAACCGCTTATTTAGGATATGACCCTTGGACTTCAGAGGTTTCTCAACTGAATTCCAGGGGTGCTCTGAGAGTTCCCTTTCCTCTGGTGGGCCAGCAGTCTGTGTTATCTAGCACTGTAGAACCTCTAAAAATCACTATTCAGCTCTCAACACTGCAGGTGACATTATGCTGTAATTCTTGTTGGAATCTCACCTTGCATGTGCACAGTTCAACCCTTGTTATGAAATCAGGGTGAATTGCTCTGCAGACTACTTGGAAGCACTATTTGCACATCTCCCTCTTCTCAAATATATTACCCCACAAATGCCAGCTGCATCAGTATTCCAGAACTCTTGCTTTCTACCTGTACTCAGCCTAGTGACACTGCTCTTTGGACTCCACTTCTTTGCCCTGCAACAAGAAAGTATCCTCAGGATACGGGAAAGCTGGAGCAAATATGTGGAAACCTCATTTGTTGCCATTCTTTAAAGATTAATTTTGTCTGATGGTTGCCGAAAGTCTAAAAACTGTGACCACATGTATTTTAGTAATTTTTTGTTTTCAACAAATGGTTTAAGTTTGATACTTGTTACTCTAATGACTGAAAATGAAATGGCTCACTTGTTTTTGAACATTTATGGTCTTCCCTTTATTTTTTTAACATTCTAATGTGATTCTAATACTTGCACTGTTTTTTTCACTGCAGTCTTGATAAAGCTAACAAAAGCATTGTAGAAATTAGATGGTAAAACCTATACTTGCAGTTGGTATATAATGATTATATTTTATATATATATATATATACACACACACAAACACACACACACACTATAAAGTGAGAAGTATCCTGTCCAGTATATACCCTGTTGTTTTTATGTGCCTTTTAAGAAGTATTTCATGACTATGCAAGTATATAGATATGTTTTGAGGACACAGACAAGAATGCATTTTTAAACAACTATCATTCAAGATAATGATGTGCTCAAGTCTGTTCATCAGCATTTTGTTTTTCCTTTGTTACTTGATTTCTAAGAACTCCATAATGATACAAGTAACAGCTATCATTTACACTGTATGGCAAATTTCAGAGTTAATAGCGCAGAAATGATTGAAAACAGTCCCTAAAATTGGAAATAATTTACAAGGAAAAAAATATGCAATTTAGACTTTTTGAAAGAAATGAAAGTATTATAGGAACCATTAATCTTTTGGACTGTTAAAAATAACCTTAGGGATTTACAGTCTAATTTATCACTACTATTAGTCTTTTATTAATCTTAATTGAGTTCTTTATCTAAAGTGAAAGATATTTCATGTAAATAAAATCTGTAGTGATACTATGTTGAACATATTATTTGTATTTTTTCTATGCAGTTCATCAGTGGTGCTAAGGAAATCTGCTATGCTCTTCGAGCAGAAGGCTATTGGGCTGACTTTATTGACCCATCATCTGGTTTAGCAGTGAGTAATTAAATATATTATGAAAGCCATATTATATGATTTGGAGTAAGAAGTGTCTTTTAATTACCAAATGTCTATTATTATAACTTTAGTAAAAATAGATCATTTAAGACTTTTAAAAATCTCAGAATTTTATGCAAAGATGTAACACAGTTGCAGTCACACTTTAAGGGACCTCTATTGTTCAGTTAAGTTTCTTCATATTTTAAAATTGTTTTTATTTAGTACAATTAATGATTTTCACCCTCCCAATAGATATTGTTTATTTATATTGAATTGGTTAATTTACTAGTAGTTGACATTTAGCAATCAATAATTTACTTAAAGAAGAAACAATTACTTTTAGAATTAAGAAAATATAATGGCAAAAATATGTCTAGAAAAAAATAACTGGAATTTACAAGGTTTTACTTTGAAAAATTAGCTAAACCACTTGGGTAATTGTTTTTAAAATTCTGAGTATATCTTTATAAACAGTAATAAAATTTCTTTAATCTTAAAATATGAATATATTGTGTTTCTTCCTTACAGTCAAATAAAATACAGCATAAACTAGAAATAAAACATGCACTCTGGTTTTAGTTTTCTTATCTTAAAAATCATGAAGGTGTACCATAGATTTTTATCTAAAGTTTATCACATCCTTAATGGTCATGCAATGTTATACTTTTGATTTTAGAGAACATGAAATTTGCCACATTACTCATTTTGCATTTCCGGAATACATCAGTATTAAGGGGAAAGGAAGTGGTAGTATTAGGCAACTTAGGTTTTCATGTGACCTTTTTTACTTTTTGTGTTCAGTTGGCATAAGAAATATTACTCTTTCTTGCTGATAAAAAATATGACTTCAACTTTTATTTCCTCCAGTTTTTTGGACCATATACAAACAACACTCTTTTTGAAACAGATGAACGCTACCGACATTTAGGATTCTTTGTTGATGATCTTGGCTGCTGTAAAGTGATTCGTCATAGTCTCTGGGGTACCCATGTGTTTGTAGGAAGTATCTTCACTAATGCAACACCAGACAGCCATATTATGAAGAAATTAAGTGGAAACTCACAGTAATGTCAATTTATTTGCTGTACTATTTGTACATAACATCTGGGTTGATCTATAAACATTTGTCAAAGACTTCAATTTTTAAAATTATTTCTAGATATTTATTTCAACATTTACAAATTTACAACATTGGTAAGTGGTTAGTGATTTTTAAATCTCAAATGGTCATTTATGTTACTGTCAAATATGCATTGAACCAATATATATTGTACAGAAAAAAGTAATCAACATGTAACCAGGGTTTGATCTCATACTGTTATTTTTCCCCTTTTATGGAAAAAACTTAGTTTTAAGTTCCCCAAAAATAAATCACATTTGGTCATGATGATATGTGTTTTTTCATTGCAGTATTTTTAAAATATAATTCTTAAAATTTTTAAGCAGATACAATATTAATCTTTTTAAAATGCTTTAATAAATGTAATTAATAATTCTAGATACAATGTAGTTTGACTTTTTCTGATTTTCTTTTTCTTTATCTGTTAAGTGATCTGTAACAGTTTGAATATTATTTTGAAATAATGTGCAGGAAAAAAAAACTAAAATACCATATCTCTGCGTGTGAAAATGTATGAATCTCATTCATACTAAAAATGTAATTCATAACTCCTGAGTTAAAAGATAAATGTCACTTATTTTCAGGCAAAACCATGCTTTAGTGCTTCTCCTATTTTAGTAAATTGATACTTTACAGAAATGCCTCCGATGACAGCTTAGTTTTGCAGCATTTTTAACTAAAAAAAAATCTTTCATTTGTGAGGCTTGTGTAAAACAGAAAGAATCTGCTGCTACCAAATGAATTAATTAAAATGGATGCTTTCTTGTATTTTTAAGTTAAATGCCAGTTTTTATAAAGAATATATAAAGATGATAATTTTCATTAGGTTCACAGGTTGACTTAAAACTCTTTCCTTAGTATACAGCTTGATAATAAATGTGACTTATGATTCAAAGAGCTAAGACTTAAAATTTTCACTATGAAAAGTTAAAATAGTGATTCCATAGCATTTTGAAAAAATTTATTGAGGGGTGTGTGTGTGTGCATGTGTGCATAAAAGAACACACATTGTAAAACACAATAAATTTTCATGTATGGAACCAGCACCCAGATCAAAACTCATACCTCAGAAGCTCTCCTTACTCCCTTCCAGGCACTTCCTCCCTCTTTCTCCCCTTTCCAAGGGTAATCATGATGCTGATTTCTAACAGCATTAATTGGTTCTATAAATTCTTTTGATGCTTTATATCAATAGAACTATATAATATGTTCACTTTTGTATCTGGCTTCATTATTTGAGATTTAACTCTTGTTGTCTATAATTACAGATTTTGGTTTGCATTGTTTTAACCATTGGAGTGATTCTGAAATGGGTCACTTTTGCCCCTCAGGAAATTTGGCAACATCTGGAGGTATTTTTGATTATCACAACTTGGGAAGTGGTGGGGTTCTATAGTCATCTAATAGGTGATGATGTTAAATATACCACAATGCAAAAGACAGCTCCTACAACATATTGCTTACTGAGGCAGATACTTTCTATAGGGTGGTTATGGATAGGTACTGTATTCTAGGGAGTGTGGTACTGGGGCTTATTATTCCATCTTTTTTTTTTTTAAATAAAGTAGTTTATTTTTACATAATTTTGTGCCTTTTTCAATCTCAGTTGTAATCCCCGTGGGCGTCCCATCACAAAATCACCCATGTGCCATCACCATAGTCCAGTGCACTACCCTCCCCCTGGTGTTTTTTGATCCCAATTCCCACTCCACCCCATAAAATGTCTCTGGTATATAGCTGTTCATTATTATTATTTTCTCACCTGGTCCATTATACTCCTGATATGAGTGAAACCATCAAGTATTTTTCCTTTTCTTTCTGGCTTATTTCACTAAGCATGATCTTTTCCAGCTCCATCCATGTTGCTGCAAAAGGCATGTGTTTGTTTATTTATTTATTTATTTTGGTTGCTGGGTAATATTCCATTGTGTATATGTACCATATCTTTTTAATCCGGTCATCTACTTTTGGACATTGGGTTGTTTCCATGTCTTTCCAATTGTAAATAAAGCAGCAATAAACATGGTGGTGTAGGTGTCTTTTTGAATCAGTGTTTTTATGTATTTTGGGTAGATACCTAGGAGTGGGATTGCTGAGTCATATGGAAGCTCCATGTTTAGCAGTTTGAGAAAACTCCAGTTTTCTATAGTGGTTGTACTACTTTACATTTCCACCAGCAGTGCAGGAGAGTTCCTTTTTCTCCACATCCTCGCCAACATTTGTTGTTACTGTTTGTTTTAAGATGTGCCATTCTCACTGGTGTGAGGTGGTATCTCATTGTGGTTTTTAATTTGCATTTCCCTTATTACAAGTTATGTTGAACATTTTTTCATATGCTTGTTGGCCATCTGCATTTCCTCATTGAAGAAGTGTCTTTTTAGCTCTTCTGCCTATTTTTTGATGGGGTTGTTTACTTTTTTTTTTTTAAGATTTTATTTATTTGTGCATGCAGAAATTGGGTACAGTCCAGAGGTTCAGGGGCAATGAGAGGATTCACCAGAAACAGAGAGAGGAGCAGAACAGGCAGACTGACAAAGTACACTGCAGCGGGTGAGACAGAGAAGTCTGCTGCGCCATGTGGGTCACCTCCAGGGCAGGGATTGAACTTGCACTGAAGCAGCCATGGCTTGGCTTAGCTTCATGGTGCAGCACTCCAACCCTCTGCACCACCAAGGAAGGCCCTCATCTTATTTTCTAAGAGAATTTCCAGAAACAATATGAAAAGTGATAGATAGCTGCCATTTTTTTTTCCCTGAAATGTCATGGTAAGTAATATTTGCATCATACTCACTTAACCGAGACTATGTGAAGAATTTATAAAATTGCCCATCTAAAACATAAATTTGTTACCTTTTTCAAGTAAGGCTAAGCTGTTGAAATGGATATTAGACCTGTTACTGAAAAATACATCTTTATTAATAAAATTACTATTTTGAGAAGAACTTAGGAATTTTAATATAGAAGCTAAATGTTGAGAGAGGAGCTTTCAGATCATATGACCCACATCCCTCTTAAAAAGACAAAATGGGAGCATCCAGAAGCATACAGCAGCAGGTCACACAACTAGTGTTAAGACCCAGCACAGGAATTTAACTGATTCAAATGTGTATTTGTGTCTGTCTGTGTGTGTATTTATATATATTTAAATGTCTATGTAAATGTAGGCATTTATACACACATGATTTATTGGCTTTTCATGATCATAAGTTTACTAAGTTATTAAAAACATCAAAAAGTTACAGAAAATTAAGCTGAAAGAACTTTTCAGGTTAACTGATAACATAATTCATAGATAAACAAGAATTCATGAAAATATCTTTAAAAATTACTGAAACTTCTAAAAATTCACTTACACAAGAGCTATAAATTTCAGACAGTTCTCTGTCTTTAAGTTTGAAACCTTCATTCTTGTGTTTCTCTTTTAACAATATAATCTTTACATTTGAATTCTGGTTTTGTCCTAACTCTATTCCTCTTGTGATTGGTTCTCTTGCTCCAAAGCACTCTAAACCAGATAATTCTCTGTAGGATCTGTCCTTTGCATTGTAAAGTATTTAGCAACACCCTTGGCCTCTGCTCTCTCTACATGTCAATAAGTAGCCTTTGCTCGTGACAGAATGTCTCCAAGCACTGCCAGTTTCCCCTGCAAAAAATTATGTGAAGAAAAATTTGAACAGATGTCCTGTATATCATCTGACAATCCTATCCCCCAATTGAGAAGCACTAAAGATGGGCATTGCTTGACTTGACCTTAGTTATATATTTAAACATCCTGAGAGGATATTTTAAAATCCTCATGATATCCTCCTCTCCCCCAAATCAATAGATTAACTCCATTGATCTGATGAGGTTTAAGCATCAGTATTTTCTTCTAGATTTCCCACATCTCAGAAGTTAAAATCATCAGTTCGACATGCCTTTTGCAGCAACATGGGTAGAGGTGGAAAAGATACTGCTTAGTGAAAAAAGCCAGAAAGAAAAGGAAAAATACTCATACCAGGGCTATAAAGAACTAGGGGAGAAAATAATATTAAACAACTGTATACCAGAGACATTTTATGGGGGTAGAGTGGGGAGTGGAATCAAAAACGGGGGGAGGGTAGTGCACTAGACTATGGTGATGGCACACGAGTGATTTGGTGATAGGAAGCCCATGGGGATTGCTACTGAGATGGAAAAAAGCACAAAATGATACAAAATAAACTTCTAAAATAAATATTATTTAAAAAAAAAAATCATCAATTTGGGCCCTCCCTGGCAGCACGGGTTAGGACGCAGCACTGCAAGCTAGCCCCAGCTGCTTCACTGTGAGTTCGAACCCCAACCCTGGAGGTGAACCACATGGCACAGCAGACCTCTTCTGTCTCGCCCACTGCTCCCCTCAGCAGTGTATTTCGTTGATCTGCCTGTTCTGCTCCCCACTCTGATTATGATTAATCCTCTTACCACCCCTGCATCTCTGTCCTGTATCCCAGTTCTCTAAATAAATAAATAAATAAATCTTAGAAGAAAAAAAAAAAGACAAACTGTGACCTCACTCATGGTACATAGAGAAACGAATTAGCTAAATAAAATAAAAACTTGATCTGTAAAACAGATTAGTAGTTACCAGAAGGAAAGGGGGTAGGTAAATTGGGACAGAAAATACGATGTGGTGACAGAACTGGACTTAATGTAGCATATACACATTTTAGGGATGCACCTGAACAGTGTTCAGTGCAATGTTACTACAGTCAATACAAGACTCTGTAGTAGATTAAAGATGAATTTAAGGAAATTAGAGTAGGATTTGATACTGGAGTTAATATATTAAGGAACTAAATGAAGGATTTAGTGTTCTGCACAAAATAACATATTTGAGCTCAAATCAGGGCAAGCGTTTTTTGAAGTCCCACTTCCTATACGAAGCTTTTCATTACAATGCCATCATTCACTAATCTTTTTATTTGTATAGCACTTGGCTTACATCACAGAGTTTTGTACTTTGATTATATACTTGTACAAAATTATTTTGGGGTTTGTGTGTGTGTGTGTCTTAAATTGTTTTTCTCATACCTAGAACCTAGGTAAATACCTAGAAATTAGCAATCCAGTATAGTACTAAACTTAAACATAGCACTAAATGTACAGTAATTACCTTCATTCTTGTTTTCCCATTACTAGCCAGGATATTTCAAAGTTTTTCACAGGTTTTCTTTGCTCTTCCCACTTTGTGTCAATTGAATATATATAATAAGCTATAACTTGATTCAGATGATTCAAGTTCAGGTTT